TATATATATATATATATATATATATATATATATATATATATATATATTAGCAATGCGTGATATATACGATTCACGGTAGAAACGATAGACATTTAGCTTGTGTTTGAGATCTGTATTCTACCGGCTAACCATAGTAATGCTGTGTCTGATGTAAAATCAGTTGTCGGATTTAATCGTTACTTTTTTTAGTTGAAAACTGTGTGTAAGTGGTGTTAAAGTGTAAAATCAGAGTTGTCACATTTAATCATTACTTGGATAATTACTGCATGGGCGATTATCTTCCAGCTGGCAACAAGTTATTTAACCCCAACTGGTGCAATGAGTTACTTATAATTTCTTAAACAACCATGTTGAAAGACACATCACGTGGTCATGGAAAAGATGTCAGTCTGTTTGAGAAGGGTCAAATCATTGGCATCAAGCAGAGAAAACATCTAAGGAGATTGCAGAAACTATTAAAATTGGGTTAAGAACCATCCAACGCATTATTATTGGGGAGTGGTGGCGCAGAGGTTAGAAGATGGGCCTGTGATCAGAAAGTCGCAGATTCAACTCCCGGTACCGTCAACATCAAAATGTGGGTGGAAAAGGTGGAACAACCACACCTCCCTCCACCCTCACTTGCCCCACTCTGGGCCCCTGAGCAAGGCCCTTAACCCCCACCATCTGCTCCCTAAACAGGTCTCTCTTGAAAATGAGTTCTTGTGGCTCAATGAGACTACATGTAGGGTTAATAAATAAATATTAAAAACTGGAAGGATAGTGTGGACCCATCATCTTTGAGGAAGAAATGTGGCCGGAAAAAAACATGCATGATCGCGATCGGCGATCACTGAAACGTTTGGTGAAATCAAATAGAAGAAAAACAACAGTAGCACTCAGAGCTATGTTTAATAGTGAAAGTATGAGCATTTCCACATGCACAATGTGAAGGGAACTCAAGGAATTGGGACTGAACAGCTGTGTAGCCTTAAGAAAATCATTAATCAGTGAGGCTAACTGGAAAAAAGGCTTCAATTTGCTAGGGAGCATAAAGATTGGACCCTGGAGAAATGGAAGAAGGTCATGTGGTCTGATGAGTCCAGATTGACCCTGTTCCAGAGTGATGGGTGCATCAGGGTAAGAAGAGAGGCAGGTGAGGTGATGCACCCATCATGCCTAGTGCCAAGTCATCAATGCAAGATCTTAGTGAAAAATTAATGCAACACTGGATGGAAATAGATCTTGTGACATTGCAGAAGATTATCCAAACAATGCCACAGTGAATGCATGCTAGAATCAAAGCTAAAGGTGGTCCAACAAAATATTAGTGTGACTTTTTTGTTTTTGATGTCAACTTTTTTTGGGCCAGGCAGCGTATATGGGACTAACCTGTATTTAAAAAAAAAAAAAAAAAATATATATATATATATATATATATACACACACACACACACACACACATATATTTACTAAAATAAACTTAATTACTACTTGCACTACTACGTATTCCTACTTAGCGGTTTTTCACTTATTGCGGGGCTACAGGGTACAAATCCTTCGCGATAAACGAGGGACTCATGTTTGTAATATTGGATCATTCTTCTCAATAAATAAATGATCAAGTATAATATTTTTATCTCATTTGTTTAACTGGGTTCGCTTTATCTACTTTTAGGACTTGTGTGAAAATCTGATGATGTTTTAGGTCACATTTATGAATATAGAAAATTATAGAGTTCACAAACTTTCAAGGACCACTGTAAATATTGATTTGTATCTGTGTTTCTTGGTGATTTTATTTTTGTCCTTTGAGTTCTGTTTTCATGTTCAGTTTTAATCTTTTGTGGTTTTGTGATTCTTGTTCCATCTTCCATTTACCCTCAGTAAGCCTCCTCCGTGTCCTCCCAGTCAGACTACCACCCTCACCTGTCCTCCAATCATCATTCACCCCAGGTGTTCCCACTTTCAATCAACCGTTCAACAGTTTTGTTTCTCAGACGTCTCCATCCTACTCGTGCTCCCTGGTTTCCACTCCTCAGATTTTATTGTAAGTTGTTGATGCAACATCAGCCTTTTGTTCTAATTTTTCTCAAAAATAAAGGTTTTATTTTCACTTTGTGCTTTCCTAGTCTGCCTGCATTTGGATCTAACCTAACCAGCCGTGATATTGTGAAGCTTGTGGTGGGGTAAATGTTTATAAAATAGTGTTTGTAGAAATGTTTTCAAATGTTGTAAAGAGGATCGGTCATTGGCTCATGGTTCTGTCAGACTTAAACTCTGTTTTTTAATACTGAGACTGATCTAAAAGTTATTAACAACATGTAAAATATAACTTTTCCACATAATCTCACTTTAAAATAACTGGACTATCCTTTTGATGCACATCAAAAGACCAAAGGACACACACAAATACAAAGACACAGTAACATGTCCACACTGCAGCCAAGAGCGAGCCTTTTGTTAGAAGGTCTTTCAAGCTATGATGCAGTTATACCTTGAAAGCTTCCCTTCGTTGATACTCTAGCTTGGCCATCTCGTCTGCTACCCAGCCAGGGATATCAGGAATGGCAACATGGATGATGTACTTTAGGAGGATTGCAAAGTGCTGGAAACCACAATGACCACAAAGAGACAACACAAACTTACATCAAAGAACAAATGATATTTTCTTTAAATTTTGTATTATTCTTTGAACAGATGGATAGATACAGATAAACCATACACACACTACAAACTCCTCAGATGTTTTGTACTTAAACAGGTTCCTGGGTAATTTTAACTGCATTTCATCACCTTTAGTTTTAACTTAGAAAGGTTTGATTTGTGTATGTATTTCCAGTGACAGGATGTTGTTAATGCAAAACTAGAATTTATCGTAAGAGTCTGTATTTTTGGCAATTTTGTTACTTTATCTTTTACTTTAATTTCTTCTTGTGGTTTATGTTTTATTCTTCTGTCCCTTGTGTTTTGGTTCAGCTTCCTGTGTTTTATTGCCAGTTCTTATTTTTACTCTCAGTCAGCCTCCTCAGTTCTTCAGTCAGTTACCACTTACACCTGTTTTCCAATTCCCAGGTGCCATCATTTTCCACTCACCCTCCATTCTATTTAAACTGTGTCTCTGTGGGGGTCGCTGACAATGCTCCACCTTCCTTTGTGTCTCTGGGGGATGGCCATGATGCCCCACCTCCATGTGTCTCCATGGGGGTCGGTCATGAAGCCCCACTTGCCTCGCATCCAGCAGCTGCCAGCCTCAGGTGGGTCAGGTGGGTACCAAGCCCCTGGTGGTCCCCAAGCCTTTAGCTGCAGCTACCTCTTGTACATTGTCTTCCACTGCAGTGCCCTCTACTGTGGATCTGTCTGAACTGTTGCCTACCTCTGTAAGGTCTCTGGGCTGTCCCTCTGATCTATTCCTGCACTCTGGATGGTCTCCAGGCCATTTGTCCAAACTCTTGCCTCCCAGTGTGAACGTGCCAATGACAGTTCTCAGATTTTTGTGTTGACTGTTTTTTTTTTTCCCAGGGCCTTATCCTTATATACTTGGTTTTGTGAGTTGCTACTACCATGTCAGGTTTTTGTTTTCCTTTACATTATAAATTAGTTTAATTTTATTTGAGCTGTGTGTGCCTGCATCTGGATCAAATCCCTTTAGCGACCTTAATGTTCACTATTTGTAATGACTAATTTCAACTAATTGTTGGTCAGCAGCCTATGATTAATAGGGCTTGTTGCCATATGTGTTGTGCTCTCTTCATTAGGCAGAAAATATATATAAATCAGTGTTTATGTATAAGCCAGAGTTATATATGTTTCAAAGTAAACAAAATGCATTGGTAACCAATCTGAATCATAACTGGCCTACAGATTCCCTGCCCTACTTCGCAGTACATACCTCAAGTAAGACAATGGAGATGATTGTCATCTCAGGACTAAGCCAGGGAAACAGACGTTGCAGCTGCCCACACTGACCAATCAGGTAACAGTTCACTATAATGGCTATCAAGCCCATAGCCTCCATTGCAGTCTGGTGTGGAGAGAAACGCAGTGAGAGACAAATCAATTTACTGGCTGCCCAAACAGTCGCCTGAAAGGCATTTCTGACATTTTCCAGTACAAAACATTGACCTGCCACTGCCCGATGTTCTCCACCCTTTGTCCGAAGGGTCTCTGAAGGCTGGTGCAGAGTTTCAAGGCGTCACTTCGGATCTCAATAATGTTGTTGATAAGAGCACACATGGCTGCCAGGGGGAAGGCAGAAGAGAAGAGCACCACATAGCCAAACTGGATGAACATCTCTTGGTAATCCTGAATTGTGCCCTGTGGAGATTAAATGCAATTTGCAGAGAAACAGTTTACCATGGGAGGAGATTGTTTAAATGCGTCCTACCTCATATGTCTGCATACAGCTTTCAATCTCAGCCTGGGTCAGAGTGACTGTTTTAGGTTCCTCTGGTGGATCAATCCAAGATTTCTTGTCATCTTTCTCCTCACCTACATTCTTTCTCCTCTGACAGATGGACTCCGATTCCTTTAGAGAGGACACGCCAGTGTTGTCCTAAAGAAAATATTAGAGTGACTGGGTCATTCTCTTTGTACCAACTGCTGAGACATACAGTATATAATCCTAAGGTGTATTAGATGGACAACTGAAACACATTTTCACACATTTGGTGAAATGGATTTTTATACATTTTTTTACAATGCTAATAAGCCACGAGCACAAGGCTGACAGGCTGCATAGAAGGCAATCTTTGAAGGAGTGTATATCATCCACCAGCTTAGACTGAGATCATCTTATGTTGAGAAATGACAGTTTTATAAAACATTGGAAGTAACTTCATGCACAATCTCATGTGACAGTGCAGGATCTCTCTTTCTCTGAGTATGTGTTGTGAATGAATCTTGGCTTCTTCATATTTTTTCTGCTGTTCCCTCTTCAGGGGGTCTCTACAGCGAGTCATCCTCCTCCATCTTACTCTGTCCTCACTCCAACTACCTCCATGTCCTCTCTAATTGCATTCAAATATAGTCTCTTTGGCCTTCATCTTAGTCTTTTTTCATGGCAGCTGCATTTGTAACACCCTTCTACCAATATACCCACTGCAGCTAACCTGGACATGTCCAGACCATCTCAGTCTGGCCTTTCTAATGTTATCTCTCAGTTGTTCAACCTGTGCTGTACCTCTGATGATCTCATTCCTAATCTTATCCATCCTTGTCACTCCTAAGGAGAACCTCAACATCTTCATTTCTGCTACTTCCAGATTTGTCTCCTGTCTTTTTGTCCATGTCTCTGTCTCCAGACCATATAACATAGCTGGTCTCACCATTGTCTTGTCAACTTTTCCTTTGACCTTTGCTGACACACGTTTGTCACAAAACACTCCTGAAATGTTTCTCCATCCACTCCATCCTGCCTGGACTCTCTTATTCACCTCTTTACCACAGTCCCCATTTTCCTGGACAGTGGACCCCAAGTATTTGAAGTCCTGCACCTTTGTGACCTCTGCTCCTTGTAGCCTCACTGTTCCACCGGCCTCCCTCTCATTCACACACACACATCTTACTGCGACTGACTGTCATTCCTCTTCTTTCAAGTCCATACCTCTCCCTCTCCAAGTTCTCTTCCACCTGTTCCCTGTTCTCACCACAGATCACAATTTCATCTGCAAACATCATAGTCCACAGGGATTCTTGACTGACTTCATCTGTTAGTCGGTCCATTATCAGAGCAAACAAGAAGGGGCTCAGAGCCGATCCTTGATGCACTCCCACCTCCACCTTGAAGCTATCTGTCACTCTTACATCACATCTCACCACTGTCCTGTTGTCCTCATATATGTCCTGTACCAGTCTAACATGTCCTGATGTCTTTTTACATGTCTTGTACCAGTTTATCTGGAATCTGGTGTCTCTGCCACTCCATATTCTCATACAACACCACAGCTCCTCACTTGGCACCCTGCTAATATCACAAATGAATGGGTTATAGCAATTATTTTGTTGTCAATTAGCTTTGTTGGTCATCTTGAATTTGACTAACTTTAAAAGTTATTGAGTAATAAATAGTCCTCCAATTATTATTTTCTGAGATAAAATTTACCCAGTGGTTTCATGAGATATTGTGCTAACAAACAGTTTTGACTCAAACAGTTAATTGTAAAGATTTAAATAAAGATTTGTTAGTTAAAATCTATCTCAGCTACTACCACACCCATTTTCAGGTCAATATCTGAGCTTTCCAGTGGGGATAACAGTGTTGTATACGCAACATACCAGAGTTTGTGATTCAGAGTCGCTGTCCTCATCACAGCTGTCAAAAATACTGGATGGATTCATTCCTTCCTCTACCAATGTTGGACTGTCCTCTAGAAAACTTTCATCCTCTGGCTGTGCTTCTGTCATCACATCCTGATAGTCTACTTTCTCCGTGAAGCTGACTTTCCGCTGCTTCATGATGCTGTCATTCATGTCCCACTCCTCCTCTGAGAGCCTAAAACCAGCTTTCAGATCGCCTTTTCTCTTTGGCTGTGGATTACAGTTTGCAATATGGCCATCTGAAATTCCTCTGGGTCCCAAAAATGAATAGTATGTCATGGAGGCTTGGGCCTTTCCCAGAGCCAGGCGACCATATTTGAGTATGATGGCTTGAAGAAGCTCCCACAACACTTTTGGGGTGAAGACACCCAGCTTATTTTGCTCATACAGGTAGGGCTGAAGGACTTCTTTGATGTTCTGCAGAAACTGGCGGAAAATCAATAAAGTAGCCAGCATCTGTGAAGAGAGGAGGCATTTCTGTAAAGATACGTACATAGCACACAAATAAGTCCAGCTGTGTTTGGGGAGCACATGTGAATAAGATATTCACATAGGAACAAGTGGTACGTTGATGTTCTCTGTCACAGAGGGATTTGTAGTCAATGTAGTTTATGAGATGAGTGGTTTTTTTTTTTTTTTGGACTAGAAATGAACAGGGAATGCAAGTATGAAACTTTCATGAAGTAATGAAAAATCATCTATTCTGACAGACTCGCTTCACCTGTGCTTTGACCCTATCCTAAAGGAACCACAGCACACATCATTGCATCTTACAGTGGATTTCATTGTAATGCAGTATAAACTTGCAGGATAGATCTAGACTGACTTTTAGTTTCTTCCAGCTCTACATATCTGTCTGGACTTTAAGGATTACTGGGATAGATTTTTATCAATCGTTTAAACAATAGTTTGTTCAAAAAGTTGTTTTTGACAAACTTTTGGAGCTTATGCTAGTTTTCTCACTTGTTAAAAATTAGTTGTGATAAAGAAAGTAATAAAGGAAACTAGAAATCTCCTTTTCTTAGCAGTTAGACAACCTGTCCGACCTGTAACTGTTTCCAGTTTGATAATGTCGGGTTGCTCCACTCAGGTTTGCTGAGAAAAAATAACCCGTTTCCTCACACCTCACCTTCCTTTGGTGTGCGTGTCTTTGGAGTGCCTTTTTTCTAGTCGTGATGTAAACTTGTTGCCAACTCACTTCATTATTTGTGAAAAGTTACATCAGATATTCTGTGATGGACTTGCGACCTGTCCAGGGTGTCCCCTGTCTCTCACACAGTGATGGCTGGACATGGGTGCCAGTGACCCCCACGACCCAAAAAGGAAGAAGTGGGTAAAAGATGGATGGATACATCAGATATTTTCCAGTCTCTCACTGCTCTATAACAATATTCAGAAACATGGAGTTGGAATGAATTTTAAAATTAGTATACTTTTTTTGTTTTTAAGTTTATTCTCCAAAATAGAACGTGTAGTCTGCTGTTTTTCATTTCAGTTAACTATAGAGGTATAATGATCTGTACAACAATACTAGGCCTGTCACAATGACAAATTTTGCTGGGCGATTAATTGTCTCAAAAATTATTGCAATAAATGATAATACTGTTTGAAATTTGACAATATTAGTAATTGTCAAATTTAAGAAGAAATGTTGGTTAATTTTTGTGTGTAGTACCTTTTTTGACCACTGGATGACAGTACAAAATGGTTTGAACCAAAGGATGGATAGTGAGGGAGCCAACCGTGTGTCTCTTTAAGAAAAAAGGGAATGAGGCCCCTTGACGTGACATGGGCTGTCTCTCATTCCTGTTTTTCGGTTCACAAAATGGCGGACGCTCGGTGTGGTTTGAGCTCTTTAGCACTAGTATAGCTAGATATAGCATAGCAAAGCATTGGGATCTTTAGCATGTCACACAAAGCTTTTAATTAAAAAAATCAGTAGCAAATTGGATGTCCCTACTATTACAGCCTTGACTGCAACAGAAACTGATGCACCCCCTGCTTTGGGAGTGGTTATACAGTGCCTTGTGAAAGTATTCGGCCCCCTTGAACTTTTCAACCTTTTGCCACATTTCAGGCTTCAAACATAAAGATATAAAATTTTATTTTTTTGTGACGAATCAACAACAAGTGGGACACAACTGTGAAGTGGAATGAAATTTATTGGATGTGTCAAACTTTTTTAACAAATAAAAAACTGAAAAGTGGGGCGTGCAATATTATTCGTCCCCTTTACTTTCAGTGCAGCAAACTCACTCCAGAAGTTCAGTGAGGATCTATGAATGATCCAATGTTGTCCCAAATGACTCATGATGATAAATAGAATCCACCTGTGTGTAATCAAGTCTCCGTATAAATGCACTTGCTCTGTGATAGTCTCAGGGTTCTGTTCAAAGTGCAGAGAGCATCATGAAGACCAAGGAACACACCAGGCAGGTCTGAGATACTGTTGTGGAGAAGTTTAAAGCCGGATTTGGATACAAAAAGATTTCCCAAGCTTTAAACATCCCAAGGAGCACTGTGCAAGCAATTATATTGAAATGGAAGGAGTATCAGACCACTGCAAATCTACCAAGACCCGGCCGTCCCTCTAAACTTTCATCTGGAACAAGGAGAAGACTGATCAGAGATGCAGCCAAGAGGCCCATGATCACTCTGGATGAACTGCAGAGATCTACAGCTGAGGTGGGAGAGTCTGTCCATAGGACAACAATCAGTCGTACACTGCACAAATCTGACCTTTATGGAAAAGTGGCAAGAAGAAAGCCATTTCTCAAAGATATCCATAAAAAGTGTTGTTTAAAGTTTGTCACAAGCACCTGGGAGACACCAAACATGTGGAAGAAGGTGCTCTGGTCACATGAAACCAAAATCCAACTGTTTGGCCACAATGCAAAATGATATGTTTGGTGTAAAAGCAACACAGCTCATCACCCTGAACACACCATCCCCACTGTCAAACATGGAGGTGGCAGCATCATGGTTTGGACCTGCTTTTCGTCAGCAGGGACAGGGAAGATGGTCAGAATTGATGGGAAGATGGATGGGGCCAAATACAGGACCATTCTGGAAGAAAACCTGTTTGAGTCTGCAAGAGACCTGAGACTGGGACGGAGATTTATCTTCCAACAAGACAATGATCCAAAACATAAAGACACATCTACAATGGAATGGTTCACAAATAAACGTATCCAGGTGTTGGAATGGTCAGGTCAAAGTCCAGACCTGAATCCAATTGAGAATCTGTGGAAAGAGCTGAAGACTGCTGTTCACAAACGCTCTCCATCCAACCTCACTGAGCTTGAGCTGTTTTGCAAGAATGGGCAAGAATTTCAGTCTCTCCATGTTCAACACTGATAGAGACAAACCCCAAGAGACTTGCAGCTGGAACTGCAGCAAAAGGCGGCGCTACAAAGTATTAACACAAGGGGGCTGAATAATATTGCACGCCCCACTTTTCAGTTTTTATTTGTTAAAAAAGTTTGACACATCCAATAAATTTCATTCCACTTCAAGATTGTGTCCCACTTGTTGTTGATTCTTCACAAAAAATTTAAATTTTATATCTTTATGTTTGAAGCCTGAAATGTGGCAAAAGGTTGAAAAGTTCAAGGGGGCCGAATACTTTCACAAGGCACTGTAATTTACAATCAAGTCTTTGCAGTCTGGGAAATCCCCCTGGCCCAGATGGATTCACCCCTGAATTTTATAAGAAGTTTCACATGAAACTGGCCCCATTATTATTGTCAGTTTTTGAGGAATCACAAAAACTAGGCTGTCTCCCTCAAACACTCAGACAGGCTTCTATTTCTTTACTACATAAAGAGGGAAAGGATCCTGCCTGTTGCAGCTCCTACTGGCCCATTAGTCTGCTTAATGTAGACTTTAAAATCTTGTCTAAACTGCTAACCTCTCGTTTGGAAAAAGTCCTCCCGTCGATCATATCAGGTGAACAGACAGGTTTCATCAAAGGAAGACATTCTTTTTTTAATATCCGTACTCTTTTTAATATAATATATTCTAAAAATTATAACAGTCTCCCTGAGGTTATAATTTCTCTTGATGCCAAAACGGCATTTGACAGAGTGGAATGGGAGTACCTTTTTGCTGTCCTAAGAAAATTTGGTTTCGGTAGCAATTTTATTTCTTGGCTTCAACTTTTATATACCTCACTGCAGTCATCTGTGAATACCAATGCGTTGAACTCTGACTATTTTACTTTATCACACGGTACACGTCAAGGTTGTCCACTCTCCTTTGCTCTTTGCTTTAGCAATAGAGCCTCTCTCTGTAACCCTTAGAACCTCTCCCCTGTTTCAGGGGGTAACTCGTGGTGGTACAGAGCATAGGGTTGCTTTACATGCAGACGATTTATTATTATACGTTTCAGATCCAATAACTCACCTCTCTTATAGAAATACTTCAAAGTTTTGGCTCTTTTTCTGGGTATAAGATTAATATTAAAAAAAGTGAATGTTTTCCATAAACCTAGCAGTGCAGGAGCTTAGACAGTCTGACTTTCCGTTCCATCTAGCCCGTTCGGGCTTCAAATAGTTGGGAGTGCATATTACTGGCTCATTTAAAGCCTTTCAAGCTGCAAACTTTAATCCTTTGCTTACTCATGTAAGATTGGCTTTTCAAAAATGGGCAAACCTCCCTGTATCACTTCTTGGTAGGATTAATATCGTTAAAATTAATATTATTCCTAAATTTCTTTACCTTTTTCAATGTATCCCATTGTTTTTACCTAAATCCTTTTTCATAACTATAAATCAAATGATTTCTTCATTTATATGGTCAAACAAGTCACCTAGGGTTAGCATGACCTTACTACAACAGAGTAGGCTCAGTGGTGGTCTTTCTTTGCTCAACTTAATGTTCTATTATTGGGAAGCCAATATTCGGAAGTACATTTATTGGTTGAAAGATCCTCACGCTACTTGGTGCAATCTTGAGGCTCAAACATGTCGTTCTACCTCACTTTCAGCATCTCTTCCTTTCGCTCTATCAAAATATACAGATAATCCGGTTCTAATTGGCTCTTTGAAAATATGGCATCAATTCAGACGGCATTTCGGGTCCGCCTCTGCCTTGGCCCCAATCTGTAATAATCGTCTTTTCCTCCCTTATTTTGTACACTCTTCATTTTGTATATGGGCAAGAAAAGGTATCAAATGCTTTTCTCATTTGTTTAGAGATAACATGTTTCTCAGCTTTGGG